TCGTGGACATCGGTTTGCATCGGACGAAGACGTGTGTGGCTGGGTAAAGATGTGGTTCCGTAGACAGCCCACAAGCTTCTTCAAGGATGGGATTGACCGTCTTATCTCCCAGCGGGATAAATGTATTAACAGTTTTGGAGATTACTTTTGAGGTAAGAAATGTTCTTTAATATGTTTTGGCTTCTGCCCCGTTTTCATTTGACTGCCCTTCCTAATATGAAGGAACTGTAGCCACTAGCAGAAGTCCATTCATTCATCAATGGCTCTAGAGCCCTTTGTTGGGCCCTGGTTTCTTCAGTTTCGTAATCTTTTTTACACGGACGGTAGGACTCCTTGGACGAGTGATCAGCCCATTGCAAGGCCTCCACCTACACAATATTTGGAGCTGCAACCCCACATTCGCTTACTGTAGACAGATGAATATGGATCATTGGCGAAATGAGAAGTGGCAGCAGAAGACTGAAATATTTGAAGAAAAACCTGTCTCAGTACCTCTTTGTCCATATCAAAACCCCACATGAAACATCTTGGGACCGAACCTGGCGACTAACAGTCTGGGCTGCAATGCGGCTTTCCGTCGGTATCAGCCGTCCTAGTTCTTGCATGCTTTCTGCACGAAGCACATCAAATGGTTTTACAAAGGGAAACTGGAAGTCCATCCATCTCTAGAACAATAAAACACAGTAGCGTTGCAGCTGAGAAATACGTGAGATCCAAACTGAAACACACTTCTTCATTCTAGCATTTCCTTCTATTGCATGGTTTTGAAACTTAGCCACTGATATTAAGGGAACATAGCCTGAAGGTATCTGAGAACAGGATGCTGAAAATATTTGTACTGCAGAGAGACAGAGTAAGAGAATAATGGAGAAAAGTGCATAATGAGGAGCTTCATAACTTGTACTCTTCGTCAAATAGAATGATCAAGTCAAGGAGGATGAACGGAAAGGGCAAGTAGCACGCAGAGGGGAGAACAGGGATGTGTATGCTGTCCTGGTGCGAACGCCAGAAGGAAAGAGGCCATTATAGAGACTTAGACTTGTGTGGGAAAATAATATTAAAATGCTTCTTAGAGAAATTGGATGGGATGACATCGACTGGATACACTTGTCTCAGAATAGGGACCTGTGGAAGGATCTTGTGAGTACGGTAATGAACCTTTTTCCATAATATCTTGGGAAATTCTTGAGTAGCTGAGCGACTGTTTGCTTCTATCAAGAAGGAAGCAGTTCCACGTAGCTAGCTAGTTGGTTAGTTTTCTTCCCATTCGCATTCATGAGTTAAATTTTGTGCCGATTTTGTTTATCTACTGTCAAACTTTCGCCAACGAAACAGTAGACACTCTTATGCAATTATTATAATATTTTTTCGTGGGATATTTAGCGGAAATTTATTTATCGAGATTATGTAGCATAGGATGACAGGATAACTGACGAATGATTAATTAGAAAGGATTCTGAAGCAAGTCGTAGTCTAATCGAGCCAGTATTCCAGAATTTTCCGGGATGGACTGAGAAAAACCACTAAAAATCTTAGAATAACCGGTGTCTCGGCCAAAATTCGATCCGAACCAACAAAAATGAAAGACTAAAGCGTTGTCTCTAGGCCGAACTGTCCGGTATAATTAATATAATTAATAGTCACTGTTATGGGCATGGCGATACGAATCACATTCAGTATCTCCTGTTGTTGGGCATTTAAAAATGAAAATAAAAGGGACGCCCTGTTCTGAACACGACAAACGTTCTGGAAACTACTGCTGTAGGATTTCAGCAACAAGGAAAATTGCGGATTTGGTACACTTGTAACACGTAACAAATAGGCTGAAAGTGCCAGAGTGTGACTTGGGAAAATAACAGGATTGTACTGTCAGTACGTGCAAAGAGTGAGGTAGGTAGGAGTTTGCGCATACGTAAGCGACATGAAAGCACCACAGGATTTGCAGTCCTGCACCCTTCTAGGCCTCCAGCTACCTACACATCAGGTCTAACGTTTCTAATAAGATTATTGCCAATGTCACAGATATTTCCCCTTGGCTATTATTGGCTTCTGTACTTCCGGCAACTTATGAAGCTCTTGAAAGTCAGTTAAATCAAACAACCACGTTTTCTTTTCGTAGGAATTGTTACCCTGTAAAGACTCTGAAGTAAGATATATAATTGGGGATACCTTATATGGCAGCATCCTATGCCATGGTCACGCTATTAAGAAAAACACACACGTGGAGACTTGCAGATTGTACAAAACAAAACAGACTTTGAAACAGTGCATATTATTATCGCGCCAGAACAAAAGCACGTGACCAGTGCGCAACCACTGGATTCTCTTTCAAGTGCATGTAAGCCTCTCAGAATTGTGTGTGATCTGCATATACTTTCAAGTGCAGCTGTTCAAACGACGTGCAGGAACTTTGGCTGAGGAATTATTCTGTACTCGAGTGCAACTGATTAATTAATTTTCGACAAGGTTGTTTGCAAGTAATTGACATCAATTTCCGCGTCTGCCCGTAAGGGTCAATTAGTCCTTGTTCATCCATCTCTGCTTAATCTTGTGCTTCGACTGAGAAGTTTTGCCGGAGGTTGCAAGGGTGTGAGAGTTCTCAAGTTTCTCGTGGCGTATCATCTATCTCGAAGATGGTGCTCGTACAGGTAAGCTCTGCTGATACTAAGTATAATTCTGAGTAAACGGAGGAGGCTGGGAAAGGGACACATTTTCTCTGGAAAATGGCTACGCTTCTTTGAGAGACCTGTGTAGGTATACAAACCAGAATATTTCAACAAGTTGACCAATGTTTCCCAAACGGTGTGCCTAGGAACCACGGGGTTCCGCAAGGAAATTCATCAAAATATAACTAACTAAATTCACGAAGCTGAGATCTTCTTGAGAAGCTGCCAGTCGCTCAGCTACTTAAGAATTTTCCAACATTATGGAACTCAAATATGCACTACCGTATTCACACGAGCTATCCACTGGTCCCTACCCTGCTCCATTAGAGCTAAAAAGGCAAAGCTATCCTTGTAACAGGCCCTGGAGTCCCATAGGGTTCTGAGGCGTCGAGGTTCCCACATTTTCTAGACAATCAGCCCACTTACGGTGATGAGGTTTTCAGCCTTACGTTCCGGCTGACCTTCACCCACAGAAAGATTCCTGCTAGTCATTTCTGTTAGAGGTTGAGTCGATCCCAGGACCACAATATAACACTTGTAATAAAATATATAAAAAATTCAATCCCGGAATTTGCCTGAAGGGACAGAGGAGAGATTAGACCCGGACATCTGCCAAATACAGGTCTGAAGCATTACTACAAGAGCATGCTGGGTGATAATACTGTTACATGCATTAGTGACTCGTAGACGGGGTTTCGATTGGTGACTCGGTTTACTGGATATTCACAAGTCGTAACTACAACGAGTTCTTACGCGCTCATGAAATGACATCTTCAACATTTCGTCTATTCAGCTGCCTTCTAAATTATCTTCGACTGACTGCCTCACACATAACTCTTCGACCGACCGAATTGATTAGGGGTATCCACGACTCCTAGTATAGAGAGCTAGTTCGTATCCATGGAAATTCACTCGGAACGTGATTCAATTCGCCGTTGTAACGGATGTTTCAACAAGCCTTTGTCTAGCAATGGTAATTTTTTCTTACTTTATTATTCCGGCTTTCAGGCGTCATGTCACAATACATTTTTATTGACGAATATGAGAATATAAAATATCAAGCGATAATATTTATAACATTAGTGTAAAAAGGTATGGTTCTCTCTGTGCTTAACTAACTAAACACTAGTCCATGAAGGCGTATGGAGAAGTGGATGTATAGATCCACATTTTCTTGGCCTCGGCATTAGCTGGAGGTGAGTCGTAAGCTTCACGCCCCGGCCGGCTTACCCCCGAGGAAAAAGGTCTCGGTACCCATTGGATAGGAGACTGTGTGAGCCCCAGAGCCGGTGTGGACGACGTGGAGAAGAGAAGATTCTTGACCCTAGCGGGACTCGAACTCCGGCTTCTCGGTCATCCAGCCCGTAGTCAGTCGCTATACCGAGTACTCTATCCCGGCTCCAACATTATGGTACACTATAATTTAAAAACTGTTCATCTGGACTGAGAAGGAAATTCTGAAACATCTGCGCCTGCGCGTTATGAAATGATCTTCGCATGCTCATGCTACCAAAAGGACAGCCATTTCCAGAGTCCCATTTTTCATACTCTACATCGCCTAAAACACATATATCCGTTTCGCCAAATGTGAAGAGGAAAATAGAAGAAGATGGAGGCTATACGTTCCTCCGAAACGTCGGTTAACACCACATATACACGGTGCCAAATCCCAGAAGACTGCTTTCTTCAAATAGAATTTAGTTCCAAACAATTTCTCGACTTCAGAAACTTCAACTTCGTGTTATCGGTTTCAAAACTCTTTATTGTCTTCATGCAAACTGCGAAGTAACAAATTTAGGGCAGCTAAAGTAAATATAACAATAGATCAGTTAAAGAGCTTGTAATTGGTATTGTTAATTGAATTAATTTTGTTCGAACTTAAATTATTTAACCACGAGTCCTCAATATATTTTCCTCATATATTGTAAGAAAATGAAAGATTAATAATTATAAGCTCCTGTTCATTATTTGTTCCACCTGTACAGGTATATTAAGAGATACTGACACATGGAAAGCAAACAGTAGTGTTTCTGTAAAGGTTCTCACAACTGTATTTACGAAGAATACTATCTTCTGGCATATAACGCCGTGTAGTCCGTTTAAAGTCAACTGACGTTTCGGAGTAACATATCGCCTCCATCTTCAGGATCGAATAAGCCGGGCAAGATACCAGCGTGAGAGCAGGTGGCACACGGCGTGTTATCCCAGAAGAAAGTATTCTTCAATAGATTTTCTCTTATGCCCTGCTACTCCAGACGCTCCATATATGATTCATGTCGATAACGGCCACGAATAAGATTAATGGAAGATTCTTTGCTCTTTTCCTTTCAGTTATCGATTTGCTCACGAAACCCAGTTGCATACATGGGTTGCAAGGCACGTGGTGTCTGGTTGCAGTTCCCACAGCTGCACTTAGAGAGATTACACTGTTCATGGATTTGGGTTAGCGCTATTATATTTGTGAAGAAAAGCTTGTGACTTAAACTGGAGGGCTCTCTGTTAGACGTTCTTTAATTGAGGTTTTATTTCTGGCAGTCACATGACTTTTTACATAGGTTACTCTACATAATGAAGAACATCATAACTTTCACACTTCGCCAAATACAATTAGAATGATCAACCCAAGGAGAATGAAATTTTCTCTAGAGAGTTGGTTCATAGATGGCGGTAAGGTTGTCAGCCTTACGCGTCTGCTACACTAACCCCCAGGAAGATTCCTGGTACTCATTTCTGTTAAAGGCTGAATGGACCCCAGGGCCGTAGGGCGGATGGAAGGATTAGATCAATTGAAAAATCCAATGATCTCATCGGGAATCGAACCCGCTACTTTCCGGCTTGTAGCATAGTGCCTCGACCAACTACTCTACCGCGTGCACCATTTTCCCTACATAAAATGAATTTATGAATGTCTGTAATAGCCCATAAACTTTGTATACATTCATTTCTTGGATGGATCTTACGCCGTTGTCTTCAAGTCATTTATCGGATGAATT